AGGAGAATTGTACAGATATACAATATGTACAGATAATTATTTCACTCACCTCATAGTTCTAGCCGACCTGTGACAATGAGACTGTCACAGGTCGGCTCACTAAATCGGGAGGTGAGCGAACACATACCGCCGTTCGCTCACCTCTCGATCCTGTCACGGCTCTCTGCCGTGACAGGGGAGGGGCTGGATTCTCCCCTCCGATCCGCTAGCGCTGATGGCGGAACAGACGGGTACAGCTGGCTCTGCCTCTACATAGGCAGAGCCAGCTGTCAGTCACGCAGCTGGGCGGATCCCGGCACAATTGTCGGGATCCGCTTCAGCTGTGGCGTCTCAGTATACCGCGAGCAGCAGCTCGCGGTATACTGCGGTGTCTCAGTATACCGCGAGCTACAGCTTGCGGTATACTGAGCCTAGGGTGACGGGAGGACGCTAGTTTGTGTCCTCCCGTTACCCTAAGGAGAACTATGGGGAAAAGCCTTAACCCCATAGTTCTCCTTTAAACTATATCAAATGCTGACAATGGATGCTGCTTCTTGATGTTTAAAAGTTTTAGTTTCCTGTAGAATCAGCCGGTCCTCTGTGCACTGGCTCACATATCCTGTTTTAGGGCGGCTCATTTCCCTTGCAGGGTCGTATGGAGCCACCCTTGTGTGTGCTAGTAAGCTGTGTGTCTCTACCAACACACAATGTCCAAGGACCTGTAGCACACCTTACCGTCTTGCCCTGCTGTGTCTGTGTGTTGGTAGATGTTGTGTGGATGTCACCAGCACTCCAAGTATGACCGAATACGTCAAGATTTTTAGTGAATCTTCATTTTATTTTTGAAGTCACTTAAAGTAAGTGACTTCAAAAATAAAATGAAGATTCACTAAAAATCTTGACGTATTCGGTCATACTTGGAGTGCTGGTGACATCCACACAACATCTACCAACACACAGACACAGCAGGGCAAGGCGCTCCCCTCCCCTCTCCTCCTTTTCCCCTTCTCCAAGCTGGTGATGGAGAGCTACTGGAGAATGTGTTCTCCCTTGTCATCTTGTACTAGACAGGAAGTTCAGGGAAGCTGAGCTGAGAGATCTGGAGCTGTTTTGGAAACATGATGTCTGTAAGTGTTTGGGCTTTGCTAGGCAATGTATATTTGTTTGACCTGGATTTATTATCGTGTAGCACTCCCCTCCTCCAAGGGAGCCGCAAGAATAACCGGGGTCATCACTAGTTTGTCTAGGGATTTGGGTATTTTGCTGCTCCATTAGCATTAACCCCCCACTTCTAGTGCTCACAGAACTGACATCCAGGCCCAAAAGTATAATGCTGAAGAACTTTTACTAAACACATTCACTCTGGGAGAGAGGGTATAGGGATCCTAGACATCCAGGGTAGTACAGACATAAACTCCAGACTCACCGGTCCCTTTTTAGCAATTCAATGTAGATCCATTTGTAGCAGAGTTTAATAGATATTTGAGCAGCTGATGAGCAGAAATTGGCATAAAACTTCAGTAGGAGAGACACCAGACTTGCTTCTGAGGTCCACTATGATCAGGGCACCCCCATCAGTCATCATCTTCCCTAGTTCTCCACCTCCAACAATGACAGAGGTCTCCTCCAGACTTGAGAGAGATCTCACCATAGGAGTCCCTAAGAGATGTAAGGAAGCTTTAAAGAAGAACTCCAGGGTAATCGTTTATGCACCATTGCAGTGGGGCTCCGCCCCCCACCTGCACTGCAAGGGCTAACTGTTCATTTGTGTTATACTCACCTGAACTGCCCAGCTGGCTCCCTGCTTCTCCGGTCACTAAAATGGGTCTCCTCCTCTTCTGCACAGATGAACTGTTCCTCAGCGTCCTCACATCTATATACTTGTATTCAGCGTGATGACACAAGGCTTCTACGACCGCTGCAGAGGAGGGGTAGAGAGGCTCTAGGGACTGGTCTAAGAACAAGCCGGCTCCAATGATCAGGTGAGTATAACTTTTTTTTTTTAGCACCTAGACACAAATAAGCAGTTAACCCTTGCAGTGCAGTGGTAGCCCTACTGCAAGAGTTAATTATGATTTTCCCCCAGAGTGGTTCATCTCTGCAGCCTATACCAAATGTTTCACTTTATTGCTGGGTCCTGATTTGCGCGGACTTCATGACCAGGCCCAGGCTTGGTGGTCCACTGGTGGCTCATGAGTAGAAGTTCTGCCAGTGGTATCTTGTATTCCTACAATAACTGATGATGTTTTCATATAACTATACCTATATTTGTAATTTTATTAAATGCCAAGCTGAATTTCTCTAAAGCTCACATAAGCTCCGGCCTAGGGTGGCAGGACTGCCAGGGGTGGCACACAGCCATCCAAACAGAATGCTGTCGACTGTTTATAATACAATATTCTAGACTGCTTCCAGTGCAGTCCAACTGGGTTGTAATTGTTATTTGCACTGTGTATTAATGTACTGAGTGCTTATAGTTCACCCGTGTTGAGTCTGAACACTAGAACTGAACTACTAGCAGAGAAGGGTGAAAGCTTTCCATGCTCTTCTGGTTGTCGGTTCTAGGTGACTGTCCCTTTTGACACTGTTTGTTCTTGGCCTCATTGTGCCTTGTGTGGCTATGATGTCTCATCTTGTTAGTGTGATACTATGTCTAGCCAGCCAACTGTAGTAGGAGGAGGTCTCCCAACACGAGACAGTTGGCCTAGGGGGGGCAGGAAGTATAAATCCGGCCTTGATTACATGTGATCTCTACTGTAGCACTGCATCAGTTGCTATTTCTAGGCTCTGCATTTCCTCCCAAATGGGTTCCTACCACTCTTCACATGATTGCATCTTGATGTAAAGACGCACCGGAGCAAGGACTTTGCATAGTAAATAATCTTTTTGCTTTTGACATGACCCCACGATCGAATCAAATCCACCTAACAGGAAAGAATACTACATGGCATGCTTCATGCGGTATGCACTGCAGTACTATCAGAGCATTGCTGTACAATGTGAAATTGTCGCCTATCCGCCTATTCCTTTCTGTAGAATAATATGACAAAAGCTGTCACATGTGACGCACAGCTCTACATTGATGGGCTGCTGAGCGCTCACACCTTCATCACCACCTCCCTCCTCCTCTTCAGCAGTCTCAAGTCCACCTCTCCAGGGCTATGCCTCCCACCCTGCCTGCCTGCCTGTGGGAAGTGCAACTATGCCAAGTGTTGTGACATGCATGGCATCTACCGCTTCCCTACAGACGTGCACAGTCCTTGATTGTGCCTTCTGTCATTTAGGTGGTGCTGTGCACACTTCAGCTGTATTTGCTCCTTTTTTTAAATGTCTTATCAGATGTGCCAATGCCAAATTCAGTAGGATAACATGTAATATTCTTAAGGGTCTTTATCTATGAAAGTTAAAGCTATATTCCAGTGTAAGCAACTATTTTCTAAATACAAGAGGCATGCCTATTCTTACTGGAATCTTGGTGTGCTTTATATATTTCTTCCAGGTCTGTGCATTAACCTAGCGTGAAACCTTGCCTCGTTTTGCAGGAGCTTCCTGTAATAAAGACCGGTCACTGCTGTTGTCTCTCCTTGTGCAGGGTGGCTGGTATTGTATCCGCCCCCTCCTGTAGTTTACTGCAGGCAGTCTGTAGTGGGTGGAGCCTACTGGGTCCCTCCTACAGCTCTGCGCTCTGCAAAGGCCATGTACAGCCTAGCGATGATGGTCCACAGTTGTCACTATCAGGAAACCTGCCCCGAGCCATTGCTGGAGCACCTTCATATATACAGGAAGTGGATGCAATGAGGCTGCAGGAGATCAGTAGCACTGAGATGCAACAAAGGATAAAAAAAAATGTTAAATCAAGTGCTTTATTTAACCCCTTACTGCAGGCTCCTGCCGTTTTAAACACCGGGGACCAGAATATGAGCTCCCTTTAAGGCAGAGGTGTGAAACTTCTGCCCTCCAACTGTTGTGGAACTACAAGTCCCATTAGGCATTGCAACACTGACAGTTAAATGCATTACTTTCAGAGGCAGAGGCATGTTGGGATTTGTATGTAAAGCACAGCTGGAGGGCCTGAGTTGCCCACCCCTGCTTTAAGGGGTTCTAAACACTGGAAGCCAGTATACAGGCTCCTGATCATGTGATCTGCTGTCACAGTGGACACATGATTGGGAGCCTGTCCTATTGGTTGTGCTCACTCATTGCTGTCATGTAGAACCCTTTATTGGTTGGTAGACGGGCTCCTGATCGTGTGATCACATAAACAGTGACTGGGATCTGTTGGTGACAGCTCAATCACAGTGCTGGGGACACCAAGTGAGCACACTCCCAGCACAGACCACCGGCTGTGCACATATAGGTGGTAGCCAGGTGTTAAAGCCCACGCTGCGCTGCCACCTACATGTGTACGGCTTGCAGCAACAGGTTAAAAAGATGGCAGTTGTTTATGATTTGCAGTTTCACCAAATTAAGTGCCATTCAATTGAGGTTTACATCTAATTTAAAATCACTGCCATGCTGATGTTAATCTTGTATCACTGTCATACATCAGACAATACAATCTTTATGGGCAGTGCAAAGATTCTGTGGCAATATAAAACTGCTGGTTAAGAAAAATACGAAGAGAGAATTACCCAATACTAGTCATTCTTCCTGTGCAGTGTGCGGATACTGTAACTGAAAGCAGAAATATGACATTTCTGGGACAATGTAGCATGTAGAAGTAGTGCACGCAAGCGCAGTACGTCCTGAAGGCCGGCAGGGACGCGCTATGGGGCGTGCACGTCTATAGGGTGCCCGGGGTGCCATGTTCGCCGTCACACCGGCACACTCAGTGTATTTGTGTGCTGATGTCTTTGTGTCTCACTGCAGAGGAGTGGAGCAGCCGGCGTGCTCTATTGTCTTCTCCCCAGTCCTGGGTAACCTCTGTCGCCGGCTGCTCCCCAGTGCCCCACCCGCGCCCCGGTTATGCCCACTGCCAACAGCGGCAGCATCTCCCGGCCAGACTGAGCCAGCGCAGGACAATTCTTCCAGGGCAGCTGAGAAGTTTCCCATCCCCCTCGGCCCGGCAAGGATAAAATGAAGGATCTGAAGAAGTATATGACAGAAGGTCTGCTGCAGTTCACGATCCTGCTGAGCCTGGTCGGGGTGAGGGTGGATCTGGAGTCTTACCTGCCCCCCATCCGGGAGATCATACTGGGGAGCAGCTCTGCCTATTCTCAGATCCCCTTCCACAGCCTGAGGGACACCTGGGGAGGCTCCAGCCTGCACCCGAAGAGCCCGTACCTGGACTCGTTCTTCACTGCCCGGAGGCTCCTGGACGAAGTGAGGGCGCTGGGGGACCCCCGCATCCCCAGGACTGAGCTCAGCGCCTGGCTGGTGCATGCGGCGTCCGGGGATGCTGAGGCTGGAGCGGCCAGCGCTCTGCTCAGTGCAGGAGCCAATGAGGAGAGCGGAGGATCCGCGGACCCCCCCGCGGACAATGAAGGGCCCAGCCAGACACCTGCCAGGAGCAGCAACCTACAGCCAAGCCATGCATCCCCTTCCCAGCCACACATCGCTACAGAAGCCAGCCCCGGAGACTATACCAAAGAGGTAACTTCACTTCTATAGAGACAATGCACAGGGGGGATTGAAATGTACTAATAATACCTACATGTGACCTGATGGCAAACTCTTATAATCCCCTGACTGGGGGACAATTAAGGGTGCTGACAGGAGAGAGCAGAGAGATGAGCCCATCAGTCTGTGGCTGCTCCTTCATTGTCCAATCACAGGCTAGAGGCACTGAACTAAGTGATTTCACTACAAATCAGAAAAGACAGGTCACCAGGATGGCTGACCCTAGCCACGCTACCCCATCCCAACCACATTGGCCAACCCTGGAAGACTACCACAGAGGTAACTTCACTTCTCAATAGTCCAGAATAAGAGAATGCAGATCAGGTCTATATAAAAAAAAAAATATTTGATATAAGCAGAGGGTAGAAATACCTACCCAGATAGCAAGGATAACTTGCTACAAACTTGTGGCAGGGTGAAATTGTAATTCTTGTTAACTTGCTGCACACGTTCCTGGCAAGTTATAGACATGCAGAACACTTGCAGCACAAGTTCTAGTTGTCACTTTTTGAATTTGTAGCAAATTTGCTTGGCAAGTCTACAGCAAGAGTCCTGCAGGTCTTAGCAAGAGCTCTGCAAGCTCGCTGGTCTGGAGACTTGCAATGCAGACTTGCTGTAATTGTGCAACAAAATTGTGACGCTGGGCAAGTCTGCAATAGTTTAGCAAGTAATTTTCAAACTTGCAGCTCAATTGCTTGCTATCTGGGTGCATGTGACCTGATTTCAGCCTTCTATAATCCCCTGTCCAGCAGCACTTAGACTGCGAGAGGAAGGGGCTATCAATTATGCTGTATTGACATGTGCTGACAGGAGGAGAGTGCAGAGAGATGAGCTCATCAGTCTATAGCTGCTCCTTTTATTGTCCAATTATGGGCTGGGGGCAGAGAGGTGACTGAACTATGGTATTTAACAGCAAATCATAAAACACAGGTCACCAGGATGGCTGCCTCAAGCAATGCTACCCGGTGGACTATACCACCAGACAATGCAAATTGGGGGTTATTTAGGAGCAAAAAAATAATAAATATAACTCAACAGCAGCTGTTATAAATAAATGTTATATATATTTTTTTTTATTTAATTATTTTTTAAATACCCCTGCAGTGAGATAACCCCACCTCCCCCCCCCAACAACACACACACCCACACACACACACACACACACACACACACACACACACTCTGCAAGGGTTACCTGCTCATTTACGCCCAGGGTACCAGGAGGAAGGGCTATACCTTACCTTCCCTCGCTCCCGTGGCATCCGGTGCTCCCCTCCTCACTCTGACACTCCGGGTTGTGGGCGGGCCCTCTGACTTTTTGTCCTGCTTTGTACGTGGTGACATCACTTTTGCGGCCACCAGCCGGAGGACCAAAGAGCTGAGGTTTTGGAGAACCGGTCGCGTAGATTGAGGAGCCAACAGCTGCGAGGGATAAGATGAATAAAAAGTCCTTTTTCCTGGTACCCTTGGCAAAAACGAGCATTTAACCCTTAAAGTGCAGGGGGAGCCTTACCGCAAGGGTATTTTTGTCATTTCCCCCGGAGTTCAGCTTTGAGCTAGTTGAGCGTTGATATCTCAGGCAGTTGACTAAGGAAAGCCAGAGAGGCCATGCACGCTTCCCAATAACTAAGACGTAGCCAGATGCCCAGTGCTCAGATCCACATTAGCATTAGTATGTTGGCTCTTACTGGCATGGTAAATATAGGCTGCCATGCACATGTAGTGGGGATCAGCTCTGTAATATATTAGTGCATGGCTGGACAAATCCTAGGTGCCAGGTAAAAATGACAGCTGGCACCTAACGTTTGAGGGTTTTCTCTGGTTGTTGTCAATGGAACTGACACTTAAAAATCCTTCTGCTCCTGGAATGGACAGATTGGCCCCTGAATTCTATATTAATTTGCCCACCCCTGTATTAGTGGGTGCGGCTTTTATAAATAGGGGTGTGTTGAAATGTGACGTAGAGCTGTCCTGGCCTGTGCGTACATGCCAGCCTGCGTTCACCATAGTGGCATTGAGAAGTGGCAGTGATGGCACAAGGGTTTGCCCATGTGCACAAGTCCTTACAAGCTCTAAGTTTTCACAATGGAGAAGTCACCCGTCTGTGGTTCAGAGCTGACATGTGCCAGGCTTTGGGATCTTTCATGATCTGGGATTGACTAGAAAGGTCTTCATGTATGTATTTACATATAGGTGTCATCATAATAAAATATACCTCCACTGATCTCCGAAGTCTGATCATGTAAGCTGAGGAGATAGCATGTGTCTGTAGTATGGTGTACCACGCCCTGCCCGTTTCTCTTCTGCCTTGTTATAATATACGTTAGGATTACAAAACAGCCACAGCCCTAGTAATCAAACTGGTCTGTCCACCATACTCCTCGCTATACCTCAATAATCCCAACAGAAGAGAATGAATGAGCTGTCTGCTTCCATTATTGCATTGTCTTTGTTTCCTTGGCTGTTAGAAGAGGTGGTTTGTAGGTGGCATGTCTCCTACATTGCCCCAGAGCATGTTCTGTCAATTTACATGTAGATCGGGTGTAGAACCTTATGTGAACTCGAAGGTACGGCTCTCCAGGTGTTGCAATGCACATGAAACTTAATGATAACCTCATGAAATCTTTGACTGTGAGTCAGTAAGCCAAGAGACGAGATTTATGTGATTAGGATTTCAAAGGTCAACGAAAAGAGGTGAAATAAGCTCCTCATCCAGTTTCTGCAGAATAATGGAGAGGAGCAAGTTCACTCAACATCTGTCTGCAGTAACCAATCGGAAGCGTCTGAGCCCCTGGATTACCCATACCTGGTTCAGCCCATGGGGTTCAATGCAATTTAAAGAGGAATGTCACCCTTATCTTAAAAATGACAACAAGGACACCTTTAGAAATGTTTAGTGATGGCAATCTACAGATACTTATACATAATTGCAGGCTTATTATCCCTTTGTGTACCTTTTTATTAATCCTCCCCATTCTTTTCATGGTGGCCATTTTCACTAAGGGCAGATGAATCCACCTCCCTTTTACTTCTGGGTCTGCCTCTTGGAACATGCAACAGTAGGAAAAAAATCCTTTCCCTCCCCAAGATTTTGCAATTTACAGCTGAGGTTTCCCAGGAAAGCACTGGTGATGTAGCCTTGCCAGGATCCAACTGTGAAGCCAGGGCTACATCACCAGCGCCTCACTCAACCAGGAAGCGGGAAAACAGTCATTGTAAGAAAAAGTAAAAAAATGTTTCAATGTAAGCTGAGTTCATATCTGCAAGAAGAGCTGCATGCTGATGTGATTGTTAGTAAAAGGGGGTAAAGGTCCACTCTAACAGTGTATGGCCAGCTTTAGGGTCCTTTTAGTAGTATTAATAATATTAGTGTTCCATCTAGGTAAGCTTTGTTTTTTTTTTAAAGTCTATCCCTGGGGAAAACAAAAAACGTCCCTTGTAGTGAGGTTCACCCTGCACCACAAGGGTTAAACTCTAATTTTTGCCTCGGGGGTCCCCATAACAAGCACTTTTTCTTGCCAACAGCCGGCGCTCAGATCTTCTCCTTCATGCTCCGGCTTGTGAGTGGTCCCTCAGAGTCCTCCCTACTTAATGACGTCGGAGGGCCTGCGACCGCCAAAGTGTGGGGGAGAAGAGGCTATGGGAGCTGGTCTTGCAGTGTAAAGCTTGCCTGCAGGAATGAGAGATTGGATAAGTAAAAGTACATGATATGGGCACCCTAGAGGATAAGTACAGGGGCAACTCCACTGCAAGGGAAATCTTTTTTGTTTTCCTCTGCGATAGGATTCAATAACGTAGCCTAATGTAGACCAAAGGCATGCAGTAATCCATAGCAACCAAGAAGCAAGTTCTAACTGCTTGAGCTGAAGCAGACATCTAAATTATTTGGTGTTGGTTGCTGCAGAGTATTTTGAAGTAGAATCTGCTACTTTGCCCACAGCTCCGTTGCTTAGTTGAATCAATGCCAATCCTGGTCCTTCCAGGCATGGAGGAGCATATGACCTTCCAGGATGCAGTGCTTGAGCATGAGCTGGCAGTTGCCAGGCCTGAGCACTGACAAGTGCAGAAGACTAAAGAGTTAACACTACGTAAGGTCCAGCATCATCTGACATGGAGATTACACAGGTTTTGGACTCCTGGCTACAACAAGCTGTAGGTAAGTATGAGGAAGTGGGGGTCGTTCTTACAAGGTAACATATCACTTTGCTCTAAACGAGTCAGTGCCTGTGTTCCGGTCCGGTGCGGTCGGAAAAAATAGTGCATGCAGCATTTTATTTGACCGCACCGGAACACAGTCACTGATGTGCCACGCGCTCCAGTGCAGCTGATCGCACTGTGACCGAAGGGCGTGGCTGCGGTGCCATTGACTTCAATGCACCGCCACGCCCCCTCCTGCTCCAAACAAAGTGAGCCGGCCGGACTGCGATCCAGTGTGTTCTGGCACCAATCGGGCCGGAACGCACTGGGGCTGGTGTGAACTAGCCCTCAGAGTCCTAATTCCTGAGTACTTTACTTTCTTTCAATTTCAGAAGCTGCAAACTCAATAGATGGCTATGCAGTAAATGTATAACAATATTTCACATAATACATGTGTTTAAAGACTAATTCCACTTGTATAGTGGACCTTTTTACCCCTTTCACCAGCTGATATGAAATCATCTTCCATTCATTAGTTAAACACACGTTTTGCTTTTATGTTGTACTTACAATTACTGTTTTTCCACTTCCTGGTTGAACGAGTCACTGGTGATGTAGTCCTGGCCTCATAGATGGATCCCGGGAAGGTTACATCACCAGCGCCTTCCTGGGAAATCTCCTCAGTAAACTGCAAAATCTTGCGAGATCTTTTCCTTTCAGATAATGTGCACTGTCACTTTTTTTTAGGATTCATCTACCCTTAGTGAAAATGGTCACGGTGAGAAGAATGGGGAGGAAAATAAAAATACGGTATGCAAAGAATAAAAAGCCTGCAATTAATTATTTGTAGATTGTCATTACCAAACTACTATAAAGGTGTTGTTGTCCCTTAATACAATTATCCAGGTCATGGTATATCTGTAGAAAATAAATCAAAACAACTGGACTTGCTGTAATTTTCTTGAAGACGTTTCACTGGTCATCCGGCTAGCTTTCTCAAATCAGAAAGCTGGTCAAATGACCTGCAAAACGTCTTTAAAAACATACAGCAAGTCCAATTGATTGGATTTAATGAAAGCTGAGTGTTTAATAACGTAGAGGATCATTTTTGCAATGATATTTACACATTGAATCTAAGTGATTGTGATTACATTTAGTTTAGCAGTTCTGTCATCTCCGAGCAGAGTCATTGTGATTGATGTTTTTGGAAGCTCATACATTCTCATTTTCTTACATGTTTTGCTGCTTCCAAGATTAGACGACCTGGCTCCTGAATCAGACACGATTGTTGTCCAACTTTTTAGTATACCATCAACTTGAAATTGGATTGATCATTAGAGAACTGGAACATATTTCTATTTGTTCTAAAATCAATAGCTTCTGCCATTAAAAGGAAGCAGCTGCTTTATTCTGTATTTATGGCTCGCCTTTCTTATTTTAATGTATAACTGGAAGGTAATAAATACGCACTGCTAGGAACAGTGATAAGAAAGGTGAATAGCCAACATGCTTGTGGTTTATTCTCCGGGGCTTTTCCTCTTTGGATAAGTAATTTGGTATTTCACCTTTTATTCCATTGAAACTGTCAAAGAGTCCCTGTTCCCACCTACTGTAGATGTTTTGTAGCTGAAAGGGAAAAGCACTACAACTCCCAGAGGATTTCCATTGTTTTCTATGCCTCCTATTCACACCTGAGCTTCCTGTAACTTCTAGCAAAACGCCTGTCACTGGAAAAAGCACATGAGCTACTTTTCTGCAGATCTCCTCACCTTTGGCACCATAGACTTCAGTGCAATGCCTGTCAATGCGCGTTTGTTGCACAAGAGCCAGCCTTCGTCCTCGGCACAATCTGAAAACGCATGACAACACGCTTTGGAAACCGCTTAGAAACCCAATTGACAAATGTGCGACGACATGCGTAAAAACGTTAATAAGAAATAGCCTGAAAAAATTTCTGAAACGCTGACGCTTAGTCCCCGTTTACACCTAGGCATTTTCTAGCTCAAAGCTGCAAAAAGTCACACAATTAGTCAGCGCCTGTGATGTGTCCACTCCAACAATACTTTCCATATTCCTCCTTTTGGACCAGGAAGGCAGCATGTCCCAGCCCGACAGGGATGTCCACACGAATATGCAAATACAATAGAAAAGACAGCGTCACTCTGATAAAGAGGATGCACCCTGAAACGCGTCAGTCTGGTTACAGTGACCAGCGGGTCCGGACTGTTGATTCAAACAATCACCTACGAATCGTTTTTTCTTGATGATGGGAGACGCGTGTCAGATATGAATTAATTAAATGCATGATTCTATGTGAGTATTCTTAAAGGAGAACTATGGGGTTAAGGGTTTTCCCCATAGTTCTCCTTAGGGTAACGGGAGGACACAAACTAGCGTCCTCCCATCACCCTAGGCTCAGTATACCGCGAGCTGTAGCCCGCGATATACTGAGACGCCGCAGTATACCGCGAGCTGCTGCTCAAGGTATACTGAGACGCCGCAGCTGAAGCTGATCCCGACAACTGTGTCGGGATAAGCCCAGCAGAGTGACTGACAGCTGGCTCTGCCTATCTAGAGGCAGAGCCAGCTGTACCCGCCCCCTCCCCATCCGTTTCTGCCAGTCAGCGCTGGTGGACTGGAGCGGGGAGGGGGGAATCCAGCCCCACCCCTGTCACGGCAGAGAGCCGTGACAGGATTGAGAGGTGAGCGAACGCCAGTATGTGTTCGCTCACCTCCCGATCTACTGAGCTGACCTGTGACAGTCTCATTGTCACAGGTCGGCTAGAACTATGAGGTGAGTGAAAAGCACTCACCTCATAGTTCTCCTTTTAACTTGTTTCTTTTAACAATAAACCTTTTACGTATTTCTTTTTGGGGGAGAGAGATTAGAACACTTGTAATGTTTTTATTGCCGCCTGTGTCCCTGTTAGAGCCCATTCACACCAGGGCAATTGCGGATCTCAAAAGGGAGGTTTTGGGAGTATTTAATTGCGTTTCAGCGCTGAAACGCAATAAAAAACGCCCAAAACCACGCTGAAGAGCGCGGTTCCATTGAAAGCTGTATGTAAACCGCACTGATCAGCGCGGCAAAAATAGTGCAGCAATGTATGAGATTGCTCATGTTGGCAGATCCGTGTGGCCAAACCACTCCGGTGTGAACGGGGTCTTAGTGGTCTCAGACAGGAAGTAAAAGGAAATCTCCCCTTTGGGACACAGATGGAAAAAAGCTGACTGAGATTATAATTCCCCACCCCCAAAAAAAAACAGTTTGGTCTTCAGTTCTACTTTAAGTGGACCACACATGGCAACTTTTAGGCAATTTGAGCCACTTTTGATCAACTGGGACTTGAACATACGATTACAAATGGCTGCCTGAAACCAGTCAATCCAACACCCATGAGTTTGAACGATTGTACTGGTCTATAAATTACCGGCTTCAATACAGGTTATTGAAAAAATGATGTAAAGCAGAAAATGACGGCGGTGCCACATGTATGGCCAGATTTAAAGAAGAATGCCATTTTTTAAAATGAAACCTTGCAGTGGAGCTACCCCCAGTGCGGGGGTTAGGTGCTCATTTTGGTCTAGGTACAAAATAAAAAAAGTTATACAGTACTCGCCTGTCTCATCCTCACTTCTGATACAATGTGTATAAAACATGATAACTCGGGTACCTTAGAATGCTGCAAGCTGGCTCTAAGGTTCTGGTGAATAGAACGCTCCAAAACGAGAAGTTAACCCTTGCAGTGCGGCGTAGCCCCACTGCAAAGGCTAAAAAAAAAATTTGTCCGGAGTTCTTTTTTAAGTCAGACGTTCCTTCTGTTTATCAGGAGTTGAGGCTGTGAGGAATCGGGGGCTCTTCAGACTTTGATCCTCACAGCATTAAGGTCTTCTTCCTAGTAAGTTCAGAGCCCTCTCCACAGGCTCAGATCTTCAGGGAAATACCGTGTAGAAAATTCCATCTTGTTGAACTAAAGCTCTTCTTTGATCTAATATTTCAGCCAAGGGAATTTCTACAGAACAATGTGATGTCTTTACTTTCACTTTTATTTGGTGTGCAGTGATAAAAAAAAGTGATTAAATTGTAAAATTGGAGATGAGGGTGCTAAAAAGTCGTCACTTACGTAAAGCATGCCAAACAATAGGTACCCACATGTCATGAATGTCCATCGGGAAAAAAAAGTATTCCTCACTTCCTCAATTGTATTCCTCACTTAAAGTGAGTTTGTTGCTATTAAAACACAAGAAGATCTGCATGCAGAGAAGACCCCTAATTCTTACCCGTGTTGCCCCCCAAAGCTTGCTAAAGAAGGTTCAGCATCCAAAACATTTCTGGGGTGTGTTGTTTGCTTGTTCCACCGCTGTGTTCTGCACTTCATTCCGCTGGCCGCTACATCACTACTGTGTCCGGCGTTCATATAAGGGGTCGGTGGATAGCCAGGTTACATGATACAGTATAAGCCTGCATTCAGGGCACGTTCACACCATTTTCTGGACCAGATCTGGAAGGCACTGCGTTGCGTTTTTGCCGCGTTTACTTTTAGGTCTTGCTGGGGGACCTCTGCAAGACCTACAGATAGCTAGGAAAAGAGCAGCACAATGCATGCATACAAGAGACATGAACTTACCACAGTTGTTCTTTTCGGAGCTGCTCAAATGATCATAGCCAGGGACAACCTGGACAGCAATGTCTCTCCACTTGTCCATCTTCCTATTATTGTTCTTATACTGCCCATGCCTGGGATTATACAGCTCTGGGCAGGCTTCCATAAGTTGTACAAAGCATTCGGTGTCCACTTCAGCCATCATGGTTCCTATCGTCACAAATCTCTCTCTCCACAGAAGAAGGAAGTCCAGGGGTGATGAGATCATCCAAAGCAGCCGCACGCATTTTTTTTCCCCGTTGCGTTTTTGACGTGTTCCAGTGCGTTCCAGACCAAACAAAATGGTTTGGTCTGGAACTGACTGCGATGGTGTGAACTGAGGCCAAGAAGAGCATAGGGAAACATTGGGATGCATTTTAGGTCCAGAAACAATCTGGTCCGGTCTGGAGATGATCTGGAGGTGGTGTGACTGGGCCCTCACACCAGTGTAGTGCATGAATGCAAGAAAAAACCTTGTGATTTATGTACAATCACAAAACGTGCGAAAAAGCGCCTTGCGCTGCCATTAATTATCACTGGCACCCCAAATGTGCCAAACAAACACCCCAAAAATGTGCAAAGCTCAGGAAGGTGCATGAACTTCTTTGCCACATGTAGGAAATGAAATGAATGGGCTGCTTTACACATGACAAGTGCTCGCAAATTTAGTATCCTAGCACAGTGTGCCTCTTCCCTGAGCTGCTTATTTGAAACAACGTGTTTTATTTAGTTATAAAGCGTCATTAGTTTTGTGGTTCGGTTAGTGATGTACAATATGTCCGGGTAAGGCAATGTCTTTGTAACAATGTGGCTGCGCTATAGTCACACACTCACGTGCTATGGCACCATATGGACTTTACAGACATTGTGGATTTTTGTGCATGCCTGATGTGCTGTGTGCAGTCTTTCTGTTATCTCTGTGTGTGCTCTGTGTGTCCGCTGACCTTGTTTGACTTTGTGCACTGTGTGCTTGTCTGTGTGGTATGTTGACTGCACGTTCGCTCTGCATGTTTGCTGACCGTGCATGCTGTCTGCTGTGTGTTCAGTCTGTGTGTACTTTCTTTTGTGTGTATGTGTTCTGTGACTGTGTGTACTGTGTATGCTCTTGTCTTTGTGTACTCTTTGCATGTTCTCTGACTGTGCATGCTATCTTCTGTGCGTACTCTGTTGTGTGTGCTGTGACTGTGTGTTCTCTAACTGTTTGTGCAGAGCTTCTGTGTGCTCTGTTTATGTGTGCTTGTTCTGATTGTGCTCTGGGTGTGCAATCACTTTTGAGTCTGTAGATTCCATGTGAGATCATGGGATGACAATGAAGAGGGGAAGAAGCAGACACAAAGGGGAAAGCAATATTGCAAAGGAGAATATTGGATGGGGGAGAGGTAGTGTCACACTGAGCAGGATAACAGAATGAAAGGCGGTGGTGTCATGAGAGTGTAATGGGGAATGTGTGCAAATACCATATCCTGTACTGATGGCAGAAAAAGAGAGGGGGGTACAATATAGATAGGGATGGAGCATGCTTAGTGAAGAAGTGAAACTGAATGAGTGATAGGAAACAAAGCAATCTTTTTATAGTAGTGTGTGTGTGTATATGTATGTATGAATGTATGTGTGTGTGTGATTAGAAGCTAGTCAATGTTAATGAAGATAATGGACTCTATGTAAACTTATATAATGTATAATATTACTATAATAATCCTGAATACTCTACTATTGGTTTATCTAGCGCCCCCCCCGTGCTTCAACTACAAATCCCAACATGCCGGTCTTGCAATGCCTCATGGGACTTGAGGCCCTGGTTTATATGAATAGTGCAGTCTTTATCAGAGAACAGCACATATGCTTTACATATTTTCCTTTGAAAAAAACCCCATTTCTTTCTGATTTGCATATACACCTAGTCATGTATGCTCTGAGCTGTTGTTTCTTCCAAATAATTTGAAATGCAAAGAAGTGGGTAACCTGGCCTACACCCCCTTCCCCGACACACTGGTTGAGCTCAGCCTACCAGAAAAGCAAAGCTGTACTCCTACAGGGGAACTTTCTTTGTTTGCTCCTATATACAGGAGTTGTGTAGGCTGGGGCAGGTGTAAACCAAGCACTCCGGCTGTGGTCATACTACAAAACCAATCATGCCTTTGCCCCTGATAATCATGCTTGTGGCTGTCGGAGCCTTGCAGTGCATCATGGGCCTGTGCTGAGCTTGCCTGTAAGGCCCCATTCACACCTATGCGTATTGTAATATGCGCGTCTGTCACGTGGTTTTTTACCGCGATTCGCGGTAAAAAAAGTCGCGCGACCCCAAAGGCTACTTGGCCGTATACAAATGGAAAACGCCCTACAAAACGGACCAATACGCAGCAAAAAACGCTCCGGGACCTTTTCATGCGTGGGCCGTTTTGTAGTGCGTTCGGGACGGGCGGAAATACGGACAGGTGGGAACGATACCATTGACTACAATGCAATTTATTTTTTTGACCGTTTTGTAGAGCTTTCATCGAGCGTAGGACGCGCTACAAAACGGTCAGGTGTGAATGAGGCCTAAAGGTTCATTCTTGTGAAGCCATTCATGTTCTTCTTCTTTTATATGTACATCATTAGTGTTACTTGTTTACCAACAACATAAAGACAAAGGGAGATCACAGGGAGATTAGATTGTGGCTTTCAGTGCATTACCAATACAATATCATAAAGTATTAACATGGAGAGAAAGGGAAATGTATTATGCAGGAGAAATTCCTTATCTCAGGATTGATAATAATGGAAGAAGAGAACACAATGTCTGTATGACCTGATGACGGCACGGCGGGAGGTCAGACGTCTCTCCGTGCCGGTTAATCTTAATACAGTTTTGCAGTTTAGAAGCGATTGTCCACTTTATTTCTGTATAATGCTTCCCCGGGTATTGTAAAGTGATATCTGCTCCCCCAACACGCAGACAAAAGACCTCGAGGGAAGCTGAACACCTGTTGTAGATGGATGGCCGTTCTGTGACTCTCGGGCTCTATAGTAGTTCCAGGGAAATGACTTCTCTCATAATGAATAGATTCAGCTGTGCCGGCCCACATTCCATTTAGAAGTAGATGTTATCACAATCACTATATAAGTACTGCGACTGCAAAAGTCATTTCCATATTTTTATATTTTCTGCTTTCATTAAAATAATAGCTGGTGATCCTGCCATGAAGGTTCTCATTCATACACTTCCTGTTATAGGGTGACAACACTGTCCCTGTCACCCGATTGTGCTCCTGTGTTCTCACTGTCACTGGGCTTTCTATTAAAGGAGTTGTAAAGTTGCAGCATATACTCTCCTATTATGACATCAGCATTGTAATAGGAATACATACTAGAGTTGTTTCTGATAATACAATCAAAGCTTACTTGTAAAAAATCCCTTTTATGTAGTGAGTGCTGACTTCTGTATACCCATCACTTTCACCAACTTCCTGGATTCCCAGCATGCTTTACATCTCTTCCCCTGCTGCTTGATGTGATTCACTCTTGATTTCTTAAGGCTGCATATCCCATCATGCATTGCTTCCAGCAAGCAATGATAATGTTACATTGTTTAGACATTGAGTTGTAGTTCAGAAGGCAGGTTCCTGATTGGCCAGGAAAAAGACATCCTGTCTGCATCTGGAAGCCGACTTCCCAGGCAATCAGCATGGAGCCAGCCAAACCGCACGGAGCCAGCTTTCCAGTCAATCAGGAAGCTGGGCTGTGGGTAATGACCTGCCCCCCACCTTCCTGATTGGCCGGGAAGCCGCCTTCCTGGCCAATCAGCATCGAGCCAGCCAAACCCGGGCAACCAAGAAGCTGGGTGGCGGGTAATGACACGCCGGCCCGCTTCCTGATTGCCCAGGAAGCCGGCTCAATGCTATTGGAAGTATCGGTACTCTATATCGGCGAGTATATAAATATCAGTACTCGTACTCCATAGAAAAACTGGTATCGCTCGGCAACGTCACGCGCATGTGCGATGGCGTCACAGTGGAGTGTCACCTGGTCTCGGCTCTTTTGCATGTGTACACCCGTTTTTTGTGCATGCCTTGCTATGGACTGAAAACGCAGATGTCGCAGCTCCCAGATGCTGCAAATGCAGGCGTATTTTGTATGGCCACCCACCTGTATTGTTCTGCATGAGGCCTAATATGTACAGGTATAGATTTCTCATGACCTCGGCTCTGTAGATTCCACAGCAATGTTGCCTGATCTCTTCCAGTGCTGTGTCAGTGGTGGAGGTGTTCACTCACAGCAGTCCGTTTCCTGGAAGGAAATCAACAGTCACGTTTTTGTTTCTTTATAGGAAAATGTGAACACAAAGTCCGTTCCATCATTCTGTGACACAATACTGACACTAAACTATGCAAATCACGTTCAAGTCTTCTGAGCATGACAACACTAAAGCTGGCCACACACCTTACAATTATCTGCAGATTTTCTATGGTCAGATGGAAAAGGTGCAACAGATTCCTCCATCTACGCTACACTGTGTGGATGGAGGAATCTCCACCCGGGCCAATCTGTTGCACTTTTTCCATCTGACCACAGAAAATCTGCAGATAATTGTAAGGTGTGTGGGTAGGTTTACACAGAGGGGGATT